TTTCTATTATATGCCCTTCGTAAATTAGGTTGGACATCATTTCCTCTTCCATCATATGAAGCACGCTGCATGCTTATAAACATACAAACATTAAAAGAGCGACGTGAATATGCAATAGTTTCGTTTGTAAACGACTAAGCAGAACTTTTATCAAAATTAATTTTTTAGCACCTACTCGACAACTCAGAAATCGAAATGTATTTGCAAAATTTGGGCCATCAAATCGCATGATGGCGTCTTACAATCAATACTGCGAAACCATTAACTTTCCATTGTCTCGGCATGAACTAAAACAATATTTTAACTCCATGCGGAATCATAACTCGTAAGAAGTAAACATGGAATAGCAGACAATATTTTTTTTAATATTCTTAAGAAAAACAAATTTGTAAATGTATTTGTACTGCATTATAGTCTACATCGGTTGATGAGCTGAATAAATAAATCTCGAGAAATTTTCCAGAGGGTATCCGGAACATCTCCAAGTTGGTTCTTTTAATTTTAGCGATACAGTGTTTTCAGAATATTTGTTTGTATGATCATCCCGCACAATTTGAATGTAACCAAAATTAGTAATGTTTTACTATGATAAAAATAAAAATAAATCGCTGAAGACTTAGAGGAATCATGTCTTTAGCAAAATTGTAGAAAATGTAAACGCAAGTTACTTTGTCTCAGGAGTCAAAATTCTAAGTCCAGTATTTTAAAAGTTATGCACAAGACTAGACAATTATCAGAACTACGTAAACACACGTATTTCTCGAAGACTGTTAGACGCTATAATTGTTCCTTGAAAAATTATAGCATTTTCTAAAAGTTTCAGTTATAAACTTCATACGCTTATAGGGGAGAATGGGGTAAGAGACACAAAGACTACCTATTTATATGATGATGATGATGATGGTCCCACCTCTTACCCCTACAAAGGTTTGAGCTGGACGATTTATCTTTAAGATAATTGAATATGACATTTTAACCAGGTTGGCAAACAAAATCGAACTGGTTTCAGTTACAGATATAGATTCCCTCTAAAGTTTACAGTTGCTTCACCGCGATATAAATGTGGAAAAGCTCAGGCGTCCACCTCTTAGTTCGCCTTTTTGTCCACCTAAAATATTCATAAGTATTACAAGCAATCAAGAGTTAATGAACAATCAACAAAGCATCCTATTACACTAGTAACCCCGCAATCTGATGCTATCATAATTTTCAGCAATGTCAGGAATGCTCACAAACCCCCAACATTTGCCAGAAAACTTACTACTAACTCAAGGTATCTTCCAAATAAGCTTCAAAATTGCATTTTTTTTTATCAAATGTTAAATTCAGTCCTCTATATCCATAATACGCGCGCGAGGCTCAAACTTTTGTAGACTACTTTTTTTTTAATTAATCTACTATAAAATCATATATTAAAAATCCATCATCACCCTCGTGGCGAACAGAAATAGTTTTTGCAGTGCTACAATAATTATTAAAAAGTCGTTATGACAGCTATCCATATAAAATAATCCGTTAGAGATAACTTCGTCAAGATACATAATTTGTCAATTCATAAAAAAATCACTGGATAACTGTTCAAAAGACAGTTTTAACGTGTGAAATGCAGTGTCTTTTAAATTCTGTAAGTGTTGCTAAACGTTTGATATGTCTAGGCATCGAATTGAAAACATTTATTCCTTTATAATATAATGAATTTTGTGAAGCACAAGTCAAGAAATGTGGTGTTCTTATTTCAACCGCGTTTCTAGTATTATATCTATGAAAGTCACTTCCTCTTTCAATTCGATCACACAAATATCGAGGCAGCAAACCGTTAACTACTTTAAAAATGAACACCATAGTCAAATATACAATTCTTTGCTTCACCGACAACCATTGTAAGGCGTCTAACATCAAAGTTGAGGAAGTGAATCTATTACATCTCAAAATCAAACGCATTATTTTATTCTGCAAGCGCTGTAATCTCGATATTTGTGTTGCATTGACCAGAAATAAAATGGAAGGGCAAAAGTCAAGATGAGGAGAGATGATTGATTTGTATAGCTGTATTTTACTGGCAATAGTTAAATCGTTTTTCAGTCGACATAGAACTCCATACTTCTTGGCAATTTTCTTGATGACATTGTCAATGTGAGAGTTGAACTTAAGTGTGTCATCAATAATCACGCCAAGTTAAGCTTAAGTACTATAAAATTATGAAAGTTTGGGTTGTCACCTTTCACCCATATTTGACTACGGTAGCCTTGTATGTTCATGTGTTTTATTCAAATTTTATGTATAGCATTTTCAGTTTTTTTTGTATAGGAAATACGGTTCGAACGAAAACAAGAATGTGGATGAATAATTGAAAAGTAAAAATACATGTTTTTGCTGAAGATAGTAATTTGCTATAAACATTCATTGCAATGTTATAGCATATTTCAACTTTATTTTTGCTTAATTTCATGAGCCTATAGGGGAGAATGAGGAGAGTGGAAATACAAAGTCAATTAGTCTTCTTAAAGTTTAGATCAAGATCGAGAATGTAAGTTAACTCATCAACAACAATCCACTTGAACTCTAGACGGAACCTCAAAATGGTTACAACACTGCTGCACACTTAGAAAAATTCATGTAAATTTAGGTGCTCTGAGACTGACATATACGAGCGTCAATTCTGACATAAAATTGAGTAATAATAGACGTGAAATTCAGCTCAATCGAACTTACTTTTCGTCGAGTAACAAACTTTTCAGTCTCGGAGCACTTAATTTTACATGACATGTTTGTTTACGTCTCATCCTTTATGTCAAAGATGGATTCCGTCACTTGTCAAATTAGCTATTTCTAAGTGTGTGGGTGTTGAATTTGGAAACTTTCGACAGCAGTTTGTCCATAGAGGTAACTCTAAGACCAGAAGGCCCCGAAGAAAAGTGCTAAACTTTTTGATTCAGATCTGGTACTATCTTTCGTCCCAAGCTAATCGAAAAATAGGAAAGTCCACGAACCCCTCGTTTTATCTGTCACACTTTTATAGCGAATCAAAACAAACATTAGTGCAGTACTAGAATTTCGACTAGAATGGGGTACTTTAATCGATTTGCTTGGGACCAATAGGCTAGTCAAGTAGTGAGCCAATTTAAAATCATTAGTTTCCACCAGGTGGTTTGTCAATCAAAATGTAATTATTTTTTTCGGAGCTGTGAACTTCCCCTTATCGCTAGGTTTGGTGCTTATTTACACAATATTTAAGTGTAATACCATAGAGGTAACTCTAAGACTAGTAGGTCCCGAAAAAACGTGCTCAACTCTTTTGCTCTGGTACTATCTTCGGTCCCAAGCTAATCGATGCACCCTTCGAAACATAGGGAAATCCACGAACCCCTCATTTTATCTGTCAAACTTTCATAGCGAATCAAAACAAACATAGTGTAGTACTAGAATTTAGACTAGAATGGGGTACGTTAATCGATTTGCTTGGGACCAATAGACTAGTCAAGTAGTGAGCGAATTTAAAATCATTAGTTTCCACCGGTTGTTAATACCGCTTCAATCAGCATACAAGCTAGTAAACACTTTCGTTGTTTATGTCAACTATACTGCCTGTAATTCCATATCAGTTCCATGTGGAAAAAGTTGGCATTGAGAAAATGGCAGTCGAAGTTACGAAGATACCATAGTAAATTTGTAAGTATTTGTTTCAACCTTGCATGTTTTGTGACAATAGCGAATAATATGGCAACTAAAAAATCAGAACCATAACTTCACTTCTGGACGATTGAATTTCAAAATGGGACTGATATGCGATTACTTTGCTTGATGGGACAAACTGACTTGATATTGTTTTCACATTTTTCATGATCAAAGTCCGTCGTTTTATCACATGATAGGAAAGTAGGTGTCAATTGATAGTGGATAGTGCTGTTATCGCAAAATTGAGTAAAATCCACATGGGACTTATTTGCGATTATAGGCAGTATAGCTCAACATTAAACGAGGGAAAATTTTACGCGATGGTAGCTCCAATCGTGAAGCAAACATCCAAACAGAATGCCAAAGCAAAACTAGGTGATCAAAACCCGTGTACGAAAATTGAACACACGGATCATAAAAAAAAAACAAAATTGTAAGGGTAATTTTTTACGCAGTGAGAGAGAGGTCCAAAATCTCTTAAAAACTGTCTATGAAGTTTATGAACAGCCCAGTGATGGATGTGATATTACCACTCACTACAGATGCTTGGTATTCAATTAGAATTCTTTCATAATTTATTCTTTTTGGTAATTCACTTTCAGTAAAATCCTCAAAAAACCTTCATACAAATGGTAGGTAGAAAAACTCGTCGAAAAAGCTTCTCATAGAAATCACAACTCCGATTTCGTTTGTTATTTAAAAAAAATGGAAACATCTGCCTTAGCTATCTATACATACAAATGTTTCAATTCCTTGCATTATAAAGCTAAGAGTAGCACACTTACAGTTCTAATTGACTCGATTAGTTCCGGCCTTAAAGCTATAGAAGAATTAAAGTCTCTTTTCTTGTTTTTCATTCTAATTTTCCTCTTTAGGTTTTGGTATCAAAAAAATGAATCTGTGTATATAAATCTTTGCTTGTCCTATATCACTAATAATAAATAAGACCTAAGACGAGAGATGATTGAAATCTTTGTTAACCCTAGCTATGTACATACAGCGTGGAAATGCAATTTAAAGCTCTCGTTCAGTACCACTATCTTCAGTACAGGAAAAAAGGGTTGGCATATTTGTAGATAGAAGGAAAACGATATGACCTCTTTGGCAAACGGCTCTCTCTGATGCCGTGGTTCGCTTACGTTTGTAGGATTTCTTATCTTCTACTGTGTTATCTACTTATATCGAATAACGTTATGAGTCACTTATAACACAGTAGTAGTACTTTGATGGGTTAGTTACTGGGTTGGTGTTACTGTTTCATTTGAAAACGAAGGACTATCACTTTGGTACAAGAGAATTTGTTGAAATTGACCCTGCTATGGAGTATCCCATCCCATATGGTCTAGTGGCTAGGATATCTGGCTTTCACCCAGAAGGCCCGGGTTCGATTCCCGGTATGGGAAATTTTTTGGTTGGTTGGTGTACGGGTTAATCTAGCAAGCCATCTCGGCACCCCATGGGCGGTACGGTTTGGAGGAGTTGCTGTTGTAGTTGTTGGAAGTGGAGGTGTACCCGTGGGTGGAGGTGCTAACGGCGTAACCGGCGGCGTTGTTGCCATAGCCACCACGGTTGGGATGCAGATTGGAGATGTCGGTGTAGGTAGGATTATTTTGCTCCGCCGATTGGGATTGCTGCTGTTGCGACTGTTGTGATTGCTGTTGATGGTTAGCGGAGCTGGCATCGTGCTGACTCGTGTACAGATCGTGTGCACTGCCTGTGGCACTTGTTGCATAGGCTGACGGATGGAGCGTGTGCGGTGGCACCTGATGGGCCGTTTGCAGTGCCGTTGCATGCGACAGATTCGTCTGGTCGTGTGTCGGGATGGTGGCAACCTGTGGAATGTACGGTGCAGACGAAGACGCACTCTGCGGTGCGTAGTTCTGGTGGTAGTAAGTCGACGAGTGTGGTGGGTAAGCCGGTTGGTACGAACTACTGTGGGACCAGGCTGGACTAGCGTTCGCTTTGGACGATAGTTCCCGTTGCGTGAGGAAACACTGTAGGTGGGACATCAGACGCAATCGGAGGGGATCCTGAACGTCCATCCCTTCAATGGAGACTAGATAACGGGCAACCTCGGCAACGCACTCCCGGAACCCGATGATGTGGTAGTCCATTGCGAAACGTTGTGGATCATAGCTGGCTTCGTCTAATCCTGCAAACAAAAAAGGACAATCGAAAAGGGACCAAATTTTAATGACCGTGGCAAAGCCGTGCGTACCTTTTCTGCAATGATTGTGTCGTTTATGAGCCGGGAGTATTCTACAATAAAAATAATAACATAATAATCCTATTTAACAGGTCCCAATCTACCCATAAATATCAATTTTCGTCGTCGGCTTGCTCCCTACCTCATCGCGTGTCAATTTTAACTTTTCCACGTTCCCACGGAACGGGAACGGGAACCGAAAGGCAATACTGCGCTCATACAGGGAGTCACACTATTGTGAATGCAGTGTTTTCAGATATTGTTTAAATTTCTGACAGTTGCAACTGAATTGCCATTAAATTTCGCGAACAGAACGTATGCCGACAAATAGATGGTTCTAAAAAAAATGCAGTAGATGTTTGCAATAGTTGAGCGCTTTTTAATGCACCCATTACAACTGCTGCGCACCTTTAATTTGTGGCATTTGGTCGGACATCTTAAGCATTTATGAATGAATTTCTGAATCACGCCAAAGCTAATAATCATCTCCAAGAGCTCAGACAAATAAGTGGTTTTCTCCGCCCCAAAACAACAACGCTGAACCTTCCGGGCAAATAATTAATAAGGCTGATATAGAAGGCATCCTGACCACTGACTGAAGGTGTGGGAAGGGCGAATCAAGCGCATTTTTCGTGAGAAGCCAGTCGATTTTCGGTTGTATGGGAAACCACAAAAAAATCAAAAACGTCAAAAACCAATCAGCCAAAAAAGGGTTCCCATCATCAGCTTCGTCGAGAGAGAGAGAACACACACAAAAAATGTAAAACAGGCAGCGCCGGGTTGTTGCGTTCCATTATCGGTATTTATCCTTTCTTCCTGGAACGATTTCTGCATTACGGATCAACGGGCTAATCGTTCTCTCCCACGGTTCTGATAACGCCACTATGGACCGGTGGTAATGCGAGCTCGCAGTAGGTCCTTTTACCCGTTCCCGATAGCGAATTACCGATACACAGTATTCCCTTTGCGCCCTTACCCTCGACACTCGGGGTGGTGGGAAATATATTCCCCGATCAGTTTTTTATAATGATACCATCGCACCACCCCCTCCCACCACCATCCATCGGAGGCAGAGCGATAAGTCGTCCCCTCTCGCTCTGTTAATACATTACATATTGTTTAATACGTGTGTGAAATCATCATCAAAACATTAACTCGCGATGGTTTCCCTTCCCCCTTCGTTCCATAAATGCGGCGTGGCAACTAGAATGCGTACGCGTTCACATATTTTTGACTACCGACTACCGAGCGACGCGACGAGGAACTGTGGGAAATACAAAGAGCCAAGCATAGAGAATGTTTTGTAGAAAAGTGGGGAGGGTTGATGTCTGAATGCCAGGCTCAATTGGCCGGACTCGGTGCTGCGGCGTGTGGGAAAAGGAAGGCGATGGTGGTCACACACGTCGGCGGACGGAGCCGGTGTGTACAGAGTAATATAAAAATTGAAATAGAGAGGGGGAATATGCATGAGATATTTTGTTGTTTTTTATGTTCGTTCAATTCCTCCTCGTGTTTGTGTTAATTTACACTGCGCCGTAGAATTGTTCATACAGTTAATTTCGAGTGAAAAAAAAGTCAATTCAGGAGGTTGATCAGAGTCAAATTTGCGATTGCGCTATGCCAAATAGATAATTTGAACTGCCCTACTGAATGCTCTTAGGGAACTTAGGGAAAAGTCCACTTTCGGAAATGTTCATGACGTCACATTGTAGGTTTTAATTAAAGTTCTTCTTGTTGTCTATATACGAATTCTTTAATTAATTGTGGTAATAATCGCAAAATTATTTCTAATAAATTTTGGAATAATGTATACAATGAATGAATTCTACAAATTATGGTCAGCATACCTAGACGTTTCTAGGTTGAATGTAGTACATCCACAATACATATGTTACAACGATACAAGGTCAAATTTATTTGTTAAAAATTGCTATGTCACCATATAACAGTCGTTCACGAAATGACATGACGTATTAGAGCAAAGGTATATTTTAAACTATAACCCAGGAGACTATTAGAAAATCAAATTTGTCAATCTTCGAAAGTAATGTTAGTGATATTTAAAGTTAAAACTTGGAAAATGATTTTTTTTTTGGGATATAATGTACAGTACTCTCTCCTTTAGTCGCTCTCTTCCTAACTGTCCCATCTACTTTATAGACCACTTTTCCCATTCAAATATTTAAAAAAAAATCCGTAAAATTATAACGTTAATTCAATGATCCCTTTAAACTCGAGTTTGGAAGGGTTGACTTCATTGAAAACGGTCGAAACCCATGACCAAAACATTAGGTAGATTAAAATTTTCTCGTTTGATTTAGGACTGAGCCACAAAATAAACATTCATCTGTACCACGTCCAATTTGAAAATTTTATTTTTTATTCTCTTCAAAATAATTGCGCAGAACATTTTTGAATTTCAATTTTAATTCATGTGACTAAAATATATTCAATTTTGAATGAATTTCAATCATTTGACTTAATACTAATTATGTTCGACTCTTTGAAACTGTTTGGAAATGTTTCGTTGATTAGAATATTGTTTCAGTCCTGGTTAGAGGTGTGTGTCGATTTCAAAAAAGTTGGCGGTGGCGGCACCCATTGATTTTTTTTAATAAATTGTTCTCAAATCTCAAACAATTTGTATCTGGAGTATCAATAGATATTTTAAAAGAGAAAACTTTTTCTCTTTTATACATATCACACTGCGTATGCTTTTATTCAATTCCTTAGTAATAATAATCAACATGTGCTTTAAATTATAATACTTCAAAATAGGCTTACACAAATCTTCATAATTATTTGTTTCAAAGTTAATATTACAAGAAAAAGCAAACACGAAAACAAGCCGCGGATAGTTACCACATTTTTGGAATATTATTTTTACGAAGTAGCTGCAACTTCACAAGTGAATTGTTTTCCTCTGATCTCTATTACCTTTTTTCACCTCATGGAATCGTGAATTATTTGTTTGTTTTTTTAAACGTTAAGTAAGTTTAGTTTATTTCAGGCTAATTACAAGCTAAATGCAGAATATAACCCATTGTAAGGCGGTTTCAACTATAGTGCCACCAACAATTAATATTTGTTCTGATCACTCACAATATCCTAAAAAAATTGTTTAACTGATCGAAACTTAAGACATTTATTAACACTCCTTATTTTGTTTAGGCTCATCCATTAGACAGTGAGCATGCATAAGGGCGTAAACGCGATGATCGATTCTCTTCGTCGATTTTCTCTTTTGGTAATAACTCGCTAGAATTAAAGTTTTTAGGTGCGTTTGCTGTTGCTTTTGATAACCAATACGACCTGTTACAACTCTGCATTGAACAAATTCTAGAAAATTGTTTCGCTTATCTGTAGCCAGGCATGGAAAATCATTTACATTCATTTCGTGCATTCATTTACATTCATTTGTCTCTAACTTTTTTCATCAACAGAAATCCGTAAAGTAATGTATGAAGCTTTTGTAGGTTATATAATTAGCTACAACTTTTGTCAACGATTCAATTCTGTATCTCTTATGCATGATGAACCAGAGCAAACTGAACCCACCATCGTTTTTGAGTTAATGTATATTACACTCACCGAAAAACAATAACATGATCTGCCCGCTCTAGTTATTCATGCATAAGAGATACAGATTTGAGTTATTTACAAAAGTTGTAGTTAATTGTACAACCTACAAAAGTTTCACACATAATTTTACGGAATTCTGTTGATGAAAAAAGTTAGAGGCAAATGAATGTACGAAATGAATGCAAATGATTTTCCATGCCTGGCTGTAGCAATGCAAAGAGAAAATCGATAAAGAGAATCAAGCATCGTGTATACGCCTTTATGCATGCTCATTGTCGAATTGTTAGATGAAAATTTGAGAGCATTATTTTTGCCAAACAAACGGGCATATTTTGATTACAAAAAAAAACTTTTCTCATTTTTTCGTAATGAACGTATTTTAGTAAAATTGAAGCCAAATATAAGATCCTTATTTTTGTAATACATGAGCAGAATCTAAGATTATTTGGTTGATTATTCTCATAAATATAGCAGTTTGTAAAAGGATGTTCTTATTAGAAGTTGATCAAACTTCCGACTGATTCACTCAATAAAGCTCAAAACTATACTAGTATATCTTGAATATATGATCAATCAACAATCAAAGTTTCACGAAATTTGATACACACCCAGAAAAAATTAAACAATTGTTGTGAGACAAAAAATCTTAATGTAGACTAAGCTTTACAAAGTCATCGTCTATATGCTAATGTTCATAAAAAAGATAGCGATCACGCGACGAACAGATAACACAAATATAGGTATAGTTTACCCACATTGGACTAAATTCGACAAACTAGGAACATGTGTAACTTATCAACCCAAATATGTGTAAATGTTAGTCAAAATTGCATTAAACTAACTAATATATGGATTATATTTACCCAAATTTGGGTTAGAAAGTTACTCATATTCTTAGTTTGTCCGGTTTAGTCCAATGCGTGAGTAAGCAGGCCGCGTTGCCAACGTTCCAGTTTTTTATGGACCATCCAGACATTCAGACAATTTTTTTGTCTAGACCTAGATTTTCATTATTTGACCAGATTTTTCGAGAGTGCTCAATTCGCCTTGGTTCACAATGTAAAACAAAGGAGGCCTCAAACTATTTTAAAGCTCACGGATTTCTATTATTATTATTATTCCACGGAAAATGATTCAGGTTGATGATCAAAAACTTAAAATTAGCGGAATAAGCACACACAAGTTAAGCGAAGCTAAACGGTTCGCTAATAGTTTGTTAATTTAGCTACATCGCTACTCCGCTCAAGATCTGGTATAAGATCTACCTCGGAACCCTAGTCCTGACAAATTCAATGGATAGGATTTTTCAGTAATCAAAGGAACACATTTTAGTCCTTGTTACTTTTTATGCCTTGTTAATAATG